GGGGGGGGGGCGCGGCGCGGGTACCGAGGCTGCAGGGAGAGCTTGAGTTCCTGGCCTCTTTATGCTGCACAGAGGCTCCTAAGATGTGTGTTAGGGGTGGGGGAGCAATATTTGAGCTCTCACATGCCTTTATATTCTCGTCCCTGCTGGCAACTTGACCCCTTAAGAGTCTCTTACGTTACTTGCTAGAATCCTCTCAACAACAAAAAAAAAAAAAAAAAAAAAAAAAAAAAAAAAAAAAAACCCACAGGTGCACAATTTCTGATCAGCTAATTAACCCTTCCCCTTTGCTCTTTCACCCATTTAATGAGAGAACTGGTCCTGTTGATATGTGATTTCTTCGGATCATATGTGAATCCCTGGCCCTGTACTTTCTAAGGCTTGCCCCATTTAAAGTACAAGAAGACCCAGCTCTTATTCTTCTCAATTTCCTCTCCGGAGAATTTCCCAAACTTGAGTTCTTCTTTAAAACCCTGACATTTTTTGCTACGTCTGTGTGCCACCTCTTTATATCAGTACCCATTCCTTTTTTTTTTCCTTTAAAGCAACTCAACTCCTTTTCATTTAGCTGAACTTATTTTAAAATGAAGCTTGAAGTTGCCATGCACGAAGGAGTAACACTGGCTGGAAACAAAATCAATTCAATGATAATGAAATAGATATTGAAAATAAGTCTTAAAAATGCTCGCTAGTGTTGCTGGCACACTCTTTAATTCAAAGGGGGAAATTAAGTGTTGTTGGGACAGCTGTCGAAATGTGTTAGCACGAAATCAAGAGCCCTCCTCCAGCTAATCAGGAGGCTTGAAACCAAACATTCCACTTCATCACTGTGGCATGTGGTGTCATCAGAATGTTCCCACCTTTGTTCACGTTCCCAGATCCACCTCTAGTTCTCATTCATGGTTTGGTGAAGCGCCATTCTCTAGCTCCACTCAGAATGCCTCGAGATGGATGGAAACTGAGCAGTCCTGAGGCACACCTGTTTTCCTCTTGCACATCAGGAATCTGAGATCGCTAAAACCACATGTATTTCCCAGTGGTCCTTGATTGGACCTGGACTGTCCCATCACCACACATGGCTACACGCTGAGATGCCCAGAGAGAGCATCACACTGTTGGGGGCTGGGAGGCTGGTAATCTACCATGGCCACTGTGCAGAGGCAGATAATGTTTTAAGGTTTTTCACTTAAGTCGATGTCAGTTTGCCAAGGGTCCACTGCAAAGAATCGGCGTATTGTGCAAATAGGTGAGCTTCTGTTTGCTTCTGCGTTGCTTACTAAGCTACCAAGTACTGAAAACGAAGCAGTTTTATTCATTTAAAATAAATACATGATTGGCTGAGATAATGAAGTTTTATGAACAACTTTCTATTTAAAATGATGGCTACAGCCGGGCGGTGGTGGTGCACGCCTTTAATCCCAGCACTCAGGAGGCAGAGTCAGGTGGATCTCTGTGAGTTCGAGGCCAAGCTGGGCTACCAAGTGAGTTCCAGGAAAAGGTGCAAAGCTACACAGAGAAACCCTGTCTCGAAAAACCAAAAAAAAAAAAAAAAAGATGGCTACAGATAACTAGAAAATAAATTCATCTTCTGTCCAGCAGCCTGAAGTTCCAGGCCTGCTGGACCCCATTCACATACAGACGCTGGTTGACGGGGCAGAGCGGCAACAGAGGAAGCCAGAGTACTTCAACTATAGTCCCCTACGAGCTGCGTTCTCTGCCTGTTTTCTCCCTACTAAGCCCGAACTTCTGCTTCTCACCCCTCTGTCTTCATCTTTCCCACAGCATCGACGGACATCTGAAACTTCCATCTCACCCCCTGGATCCAGTATTGGGTCGCCTAACCGAGTCATCTGCGTATGTATCACTCCCTAGCAGCTGTGAGGCTTTGCTTACCCCCGACCCAGCACCTGAAATGTTTTGAAAGCCCATTTGGAAGCGCGCCGGTCTTATTCTAGGTGGCATACCAGATCTTAAGGATACAGAAGGGCGTGGGGAGGGTGTGGACCTTGTTCTCAGACACACTATCTAGTAAACTAAGAGCCGCGGGGACAATGTAGAGTTCAAGGAGCATGAGACAGTGTGATGATGAAAGAAACCTTCCTGCATTCTAAAATCAATTCCAGGTGCCCCCTTTCCTATTCCTTCCCAGAGACCAAGCAAGAGGTCAGCGAGGCAGGTGGAGATGGGATAATGTTGGTATATAGGTAGTGGGGTGTGATAAAGAGGCAGAAGGGAGAAATTTCAAAATACAAAAAAAAGGGGGGGGAGCCACAAAGCTAAAAGAAACCTTTCTAAACATGTGAGAAGGCCAGAAACAAAGTAGACCACTTGCATGTGTCTAAGCTCCCATCTTCAGAACCATTCATCTAAGCAGAAGTGACAGAGTTAAGCTAGATGAGATGACCTCGGGTCCTGTGGCAATGCATGTGTTCATTCCGTGTATACTGAGCTTTCTCTCGGTGATAAGTACTGTGTTCTGTCCTGGGGAGATGGTGATGGACAGATCTGGGACCCTCCCATAACACGGGACAATACAGGTCGTGAATAGTCAGTTGTAACTATGACACGGAGCAGGAGATAAAGGCTCTGTGCACCCTTAGGATGCTACCGATGAAGGAAGAGACCTGACCCTCCAGAGCCAGGTGAGAAAAGACCTCCCAGAGGAAGAAATACTGAATAACAGAAGGATGGAAGCCGAGGGAGGTGGGTGGCGGTGCCTGGGAGGGGTGAGGAAAGCAGCATGGCTGTCCACAGGGCAGAGGAGCCAAGACCAAGAATGTGGGGGTATTGGACAACAAAGAACTCACCCCAGGGAGAAAGGCTCCACACAGAATCCTCAAACCTGCCAGGCCAAGGTGGGCTTTGACACCATGGCAAAGTCATTCAGATTCACATCGGGCTTCTTCATTGACCCCAGACAATGCCCATCGATGGCACTATCTCCTGTCCTTTCTTCCCTTGGACAAGAGAAAATACGAAGAGTTATTGCTGTGACTTCAATATGGGTCAATACTGCCACATGGCTGTCACAGAAAACAAGTTACATTTTCCTTTTTTGTGTGTGTGTGTGTGGTACTGGGGTTAACTCCGGGGCGTTATCCATGCCATACAACTGTTGAGCCCATAAGCTATTGCGCTTCAACCCCAGGTCAAGACAAGTTGCTGTGATCACAGGCTGCACTCACTGCAGAGTCCCATCTAGAACATGAGAAAAAATAGGCCCCTGGCATGGAGAACGG